AAAGAACCCAGGCTTGGCCGGGGGCAGAATTCCCTGTGCTGGGTTATCTGCTTGCAAAGCTGTTCTCTTCACTGTAGGCAGAAAGACCAGGATTTGACCCTTTGATTTTGTCATGATAGGCTGGTTAACCAAAACATTTAACTGCTAACAGCAAGCTCCAATTTGATTATTATCCTGTACAGGCATGCAGAAAAAGAGAGAGTGAAATCGTGTCCTCAGATAAACACATGCAATTTCTGTTTAGTTCAATGAGAATTGTGCATGCTTCACTGAAGGCACAATTGGCTGAGTAAGTCTAGCTAAATTGACCAGACTTTCAAGATAATTTAATCACATCTTTTTGTATTTAAGAATATGTACAGTAAACACCATGTTCTAATAGCAACCCTTTTCCTCCCTCTCTTCTTCCAATAAAACCTTTTATTTGATCTCAGAGGTGAACTAGATAGAACATTTCAGGGTCAAATACAAATTAATGTATGTTAAGTGCTTCAGAGGTTCCAGATGTTTTTAAAAACAACAGTCAAAATCCTTCAGTCTTCATAGACAGTTATAAAAAGAACTTTGTTTAAAAGACTGGATGATTTATTCCATACATTATATTTGGTCATGCAGAATGAGGAAAACATTGAACTGAAACTCTGAGATGTAGTACCTTAAACTTTGCCCTCATGGTTAAGAGGTGCAGGAAAAAAACCCACAACTGTTATAAGCTCAGATTTCAGAAACCCACATATTAATTTTGGAATTGCTTAGTAAATTCTATACACTGCAGATGCAAAGACCTTCAGAAAATGCACTTTAAGGATGTAAAGTATTTTATTAGTTAATGGCAATGTATCCAGTGCCAGAAGTTTTAGTCTGCTACAACTATTGTACATTAAATGAACCATACTGAAAATTGAATTAGATCTTTGCATTACTCTTACGATCCAGCTATAATTCATTTTTAGATTGCATCATTTTTTTCCTAGCAGCACAAAAAAATCCCATCAGAAGTATTAATCTAATAACACTCCAGGCAATATATAAGACCATGGGAGACTCAGGTAAACCAGCATATTCAGTACATCATTAGTTTGAATGCTACTATTTTCCAATGTGTCATGATACTCTGTACATTAACATCTAACACAGAATAGCTTGCAGAGAACACCCAAACCAACAACTTTCCTGTTCATTCTGGAAGTCTTCTACACTTGTAATATAATATACCTGTCAGACGATAGCTGGAGGGATTGCCACCCATAAGGGAAGATGTGGTAAATCTCAAAGAAGGTATGATGATGTTTTCATTGACAGAAACACTTAGAGTGAAGCAGAACAACATGCAGATGAAAAAAAAAACCAAAAGAGTGTCTTTTAATAGCCTGCAGAAAAATCTTACTAGATTAGGTTGCAGAAAGTGGATTTCTTCTTCCAGGGAAAAGTTGCAATATGTCTACTCTTCACTAAACCTTAGGTTCAAGACCTTCTTGAGAGACTATATCTAGTCAATCCATTTTATTTCTGTCCAAGACTAGAAATACTCTGTTAGGAAATTTGAATCTCTCTCTGTCTCAAGGAAACTACCACCTCATTTCATTCTCCACACTCGGCACAAACCACATAGCACTAGATTTCCTGGCACTCCTGACATGATTAGAATTTGTATACATCATGTACAACTCTGCACTTTGACAAAAGTGCAAGATTTAGTAGCCTTCTAAACAACAGAAATGTCATAATTTCATGTGAATGCATCCCAGTCTGCAGTATCACTTTTAAAAATATCTACCATTTTGAAGGTGAAAGGGAGAAACTGTGTTTTGCTGGGAACACAGATTTAAACCTCCACATTAGTCAATATTGCTATTTTAAATGGGCAAGAATAATCCAAAGCCTGCAGCTGATAGGCTGTAGGGAACCCTTGATAAAACACCACTATGGATCATAAGTGTGCGAAACTCACATGGCCCCAAGGCTATGGTGACTATTACATCATATCAGAGTTATAAAGAGCATCCTGCAGGTATAGAGGGCAAGAGGCCAAAGTGACATTAATCACCAATGGATACCAGGATAAAACTGCTTAGTAGAATTCCAATCAGAGATTCATTGTCAGGGCTTTCCATATTTTGAAGGGTTTTCTCTTCTC